ACATTTTAAAATTTGCAACATCATTCACATCTCAAACACTCACTGCATCTACTAGCATTTAACTGAATCAAACTTTAAGCACAGAGGAAAACAAAATACAAGAATATCTGCAACAACTTTGCCGCAGCACCCTGCTTTTGGACGGAGACTTTAAAGACCAAATTAAGAGCGCGGCTCATTAATGTGTCAAGCAAAGATGACTCAAAATGTGCTAATGGCCCAGGAGGAACCTGTCATTGTTCCTCTAATACAAAGCCACAGGGCATTTGAAGACTGGCTGGACTGAGCTGAATTTATTTTCTGATGGTGATAAAATTAACTTGGTGGTGGTGGGGGGTGGCTTTAATAGGTGCAAATGAAATTAATATGCAACTTAATGAAACTAATATTGTGAATCAATTTGAACGTGAAATTAAGTTTCTATAGGTAATCCCAAGTGAAACACTGTTCCAGGCTGTTTTGTGGATTTGCACTAATAAAGAGAAGGAAATGTTAGAGTAGATTTATATGTTGGACTGTATGCAGAGTAATTGGAAATGAGGCAGGGGGTTTAATTTAACAGTGACTGTGAACCTAATTGATGACTTTGGTTTACAAAGTCAAAGAGTCAACTGTGACTTCTCTTCCATTTCATATAAAAATGCACTTTCTCTGGTGGACCTGAGATTTCTGCTGATAATTCTACCAAGACGAAGATCATCCTGATCACACCATCATCCACATATGTGCCTTAACATGCCCCACTGAGTGCATGACCTCCGACCCCATCCATTTACACCGGCTATTGTGCTCAGTGTGCTGTGATAAAAGAGTGGTAAACATCTGTTTGTTCCCCCTCAGCATCTGGCAACTAGAAAGACACTCAGTGGAGCGAACCCCTCCATCAAGGTCCGACAGTCCCCTTATGAAAACATATTTAAATCCACTTGATCTGGATTATTTGCACTCATAAATATCAGTCTCCTAAACATGTCAGATTTTTTAATAATTTGATCAGTGACTGATTCTCTGAGAAATCAAAAATTGAATATGTGGTTAAAACATGTCCTAGTTCGCAATGTTAAAGTAAAAGACAATTCTGATCCTGATTCTGATTCCTCACTAACACTAATCCGTCCAGTAGTTTTTGTGTAATCCTGCTAACAAACAGACAGACAAAAAAACAGAATAAAGTATAACCTCTTTGGCAGAGGTAATGACAAAAAGAGATGTTCTCTAAAAGTACTATTACTCTATATGCGGTACTAAATCTGTTGTTGACTTCAGGGCCCAAATCAAAGCATTTGTATGATTTAATCTCATTTTTAATATGGATCTACTGCACTGGAAGTTACTGACTTGATAAAAATGAAAAAGCATTACTTATGCGCCTTACCATATAATCCCGTATTATATGCTAGGTGGGGGGGGGGTCTATTAACTGC